AGAGAGATTGTTCTGTTGTGGTTTGGGATTTTGGGGCTACTGGGAACTGGGCCAGAGGAAGGATGGGGAGAGAGGTGAGAAGGGGAAGGAAGGAACGTCCATCATGTGGGGCACATGTGCTACCTCCCCATGAGGGCAGTGACCATGTGCTGCATCCACATAGTAATAAAAGTAAAATGAAAAATGAAATCCAGGGCCTTCCTGGGCTAGGCAAGCAAGCACTGTAGAGCTGAGCTGCGTCCTCAGTGCTGTTTTATTCAGAAACCATTATATTTCTTGACAGGTTGCTCTGAGTTTTAGCATTTGGAGGCAACAGCAGGACGCATGGGCAAGAATGTGTTTGGTTTTAGTGCTGGGGAGTGGCTCAGTGGCCTAAGTGCCTGCTGGGCAAACGCAAGGTCCTGAGTTCGATCCCTGGTTGTGAAGATTTTCCTTCTGCACACCGAGAAGGAGGAGGGTTCTCCACAGATAAGAGGAGAGCTGAGGTGGTTGCTGCGTGTTCTCCATGAAGCGGGAGGCTGGTTATTCTCCCACGAAAAATGAAAGGGACGAGGTGGGCATGAGGTAGGGAGTGAGGGTGGCGGCAGGTGAGGAGAGCAATTTATTTACCATATTTAGTAAGTAAAAATACAGTTTCCCTGCTTACATTTGAATTGCAGTCTGACATTCTTTGTGATCTGCCCCTCAGATCGTACGGCATTTTACCTGGCAACTCCCAAGGCCAAGTACTAAAGCACACATCAGGAACGGCAGAACTAACCAAGCGCAGCGGCTGCCGCCAGTAATCCCTGGGCTCTGGGAGGCAGAGGCAGGAGAATCCCAAGCTGAGCACCACCTGGACAGCTGTTCAGGGAGCCGCTTCTCCAAATGAAAGAGCGCTGGGATGCAGCTCCGCACCAAGGCATCCCTGGGGTCAATCCCCAGCACTGTGACACAAAACAAAGCAAACACAAGGAATGATGTAAGCTTAGTGTGATAAGAAGTGCGTAGGAGCATCAGGCTGAGCCTGCAGGCAGGCGTAGAAAACAACAGGGCAAGCAGCTGGAGGGCAATCCGAGGAGGCGTTCTTGGGGCTGTACTGAAAGCAGTGGGAGAGGTGTGTGGTGACCACAGACCCGGAACTGCCAGAAGCAGCCTGGCCTTCCACTTGCGCCAGGGGTCATCATGTAGATCTTTCTCTATATATCTTTTGTGTACGAAGGACACACAGTACTAAATAACCACCTGCAAAGCATCAGGTGACCACTGAACCCGCTCTCCGCTGTGGGGTGCGCAGCAGAAGGCACAGAGTTTGCCACGTAATTCTGGCTGGCTTGAGGTTTATTTTGGTGGTTTGGTGTCGTGGTTAGGAGTCTGCAGCCTGCCTTCGGTCACACCCCACATTAACCAGCTTGCTTAGAAGGCTGGAGCCTCAGTGTTCTTGCCTGTGAAATGTGGATACCAGAACATAACTTGCCGGGCTCGGTAGCAAGCACTGAATGGATTGTCCCTGTAACGCCTGGAGTCTGCTGCACAATACTCGAAGTACTCGTTAGATATCAAAGGCAGGCCAGGAGAAGTTTAAACTTTTCTGCATGTATAATCAGCATGCTGTTGTTTATAAACTGCAGGCACACATGGTCAGAAACGAGGACAAGTTCGCGACTTGAGATGAGACATTTCCTTCTCCTCGGACATCCATTGCAATTCTGTCCCGGCTTACTGGCGGGAGGCGCTGGACACAGGAGCCCAGGCACCTGCGTACCTACCGCGGGCCGGGGCTGCTACGTGCTGCTCTCACGTGCACCGCGCACAGAGCTGGCCTGCTCCGCAGAACAGTAGCGAGAAGTCAGTACGTCACACGCTTGGTAGGTGCAGGTCACCATCTTGCTGTAGTGCGGGAGCTGCGGTCCCCAATTCCTCCCTTCGCTGTGCTGGACAGACACATTATCTTTTCCTTCTGCCTTCTTCTCTCCCTCCCAGAGATAGAGTCTCCTGGTGGTTCAGGCCTGCCTTGAGCTCAGGATATCCCGCCTCAGCCTCCCGAGGCTCGCACTCACAGGCCCGTGCTGTCCCAGGCAGCTGCTACCTCTGCTTTCATCTGAGAGCGCTCCTGGGGCCCAGGGCCCGAGCCTGTCTGATCCAGTCGAGGACTGTCAGGCATCCGCGCAGCGGCTGTGCGTAATGCTATGTGCCAGCGCGGCGGCAGGTGCGTTAGGCGCAGCGCTGCCTGTCCGCGCCAGGGTGCTCTGAACTAACAAACAGTCGCCTTTGTATTTTGCTAGCTCATAAGCTCTCCGAAACCAGGGGTCTGCTGTTTACTCCTCCAGCCCCTTCTGAGTCATTCAGGTACAGGGTGTGTCTACTGGGGAGGAAGTTTTGAGCTCACATCTGCCTGGATAGGAAGGCAGTGCGCGGGCGCCGGCCTGAGGCCAGGCTGGGCGGAAACTTCGGTTTCACAGCCTAGGAGGGCAGGGCCGGGGTCCCGGGCTCCCACGGGCGAATCCGGCGGGGTTGGCTCTGGCTTCGCGTTCGGAAAGTTTCCAAGTCAAAGTGTGGGGCGAGGGCGGCGGGGCCCCAGGCCTAAGCCCCTCCGAGGTGGAGGTGACGGGACTGCAGCCCGGCGCTAGCCCCCTGCTCAGAGGCCTCAGTCCGACCAGAGCCCGGGGTCCCTTGCGACGTGGGCCCTGGGGACGCGCGGACCCCGCCCGGTAACTAGTCGGCCCGGTGCGCAGTCAGAGCCCAACCTCGGCCCTGGCCGCCCCTCCGCGCCTTCGTCCTCGCGGTCCCGGGGCACCCTGGGCGCGGGTCCTCGGTTGCTCCCCAAGACCTGGAGGAAAGTTTTCGGAAGCGGTAACCGGTCTGCGGCGGGGTCGGGACCGAACGCATTTAGCATAAAAATTGGGGTCCCGCCCGCGCACATCCCCTCTCCCCGCCCCCCCCTCGCTGGCCAGGCCGGGGTGGCGGCTAGTCCATCCTACTTTTCCCCAGCGATCGCTCCACCTCGTCCGCGGCCGAGGGCGGAGGGCGGAGGGCGGAGGGCGGAGGGCGGAGGGCGGAGGGCGGAGGGCGGAGGGCGGTGTTAACCCCTCCCAGCTCCCGCGCTCGGGCCAGCGGGGCACACGCGGCTGGGAGCACGGCTGGAGTGGGCACCGGAGCGGAGCGCGCGGTGGCCTGGAGCGGAGCGGCAGAGACCGAGCGGCCCCGCCCCGCCTAGCCCAGCTCAGCCCAGGCCGGCGCGGCGGGATGCGGAGCGCGCGGCGCGGACCCGGAGCTCCCAGAGCGCGGCTGCAGCTACCCCCGCCGGAGCGAGGTAGGGCGCGGACTGGACCCCCGAGGGCTGGGGTCACTTGTAAAGCGGAGCGGACAGAACCTTTGAGAACGCCCGTCTCAGGGGCGCGAAGAGCACGGAGAAGCCCGGCTCGGTGAGGTCGCCCCGGGTGGTCGGTGTTTATGGGGTGCGGACTGGTCGCCTCTAGTGCGGAGACGAATGCCGGGAGGGGGGCAGCCGCTTGTTTTTGGAAACCCCAGGGGCAGAGAGCCTGGGACAGGGACGCGAGTCCCCTCACACCGTCCGAGGACCCGGTGCAGACTCAAGGGGAAGAGCGGAGCCGCTCGGGAGCCCGGGGCGTGGGGGTCGGGAGGCCCCTGGCCCGGGTCCGGGTCCGCTGCGCCTCGCGTCACAGCGCAACATTTTCACCGCCCCGAAGCGCTCTCTGCTGTCCGTGCGGAGTTGCCCGGTTCCATTTTTTTGGTTCTGGGAGAGACGGGACCGAGTTAGGGGTTGACAGCAGATAAAGCTGTCTGGGCAAGTCGAACCTTGCGGCAGGCGAGGGTCGCGTGTGTTTCGGTTTTGCCTTTGGGGGTGGCGTGCGGCGTGGGTCGCCTGCTGCCGTGGGTCGTGGGTTATGTGGCTTTTCTGGTGTGTGCTTGTGCGCTCAGTTACTACTGTATGAAACTTCTGGGGTTCGCTTGGAGATCCTGCGAATGGTGTGCACTGAAGGTCTCCGTACCGCTGCACTGAGCTTGCAGGGGGAAAAAGAAGAAGAAAGAACCGGCAGTTGTTAGGGGGCGAGGCGCTGAGCTTTCCTGTTTACCGCGAGGTCGGGCGCGCCCGCGCCCCACATCTCACCACGCTCGGACCCCGGCACACCTGCTCCCCGAGAGGTTATTAATAGAGCCCAGAAAAGACGCTGTCGAGTGATTTTCGTGCAGACCTATTTTCCTGCATGGCAATTAGGAGGTGGTGGAGTCTTTGAGCTGGGAGTGAGTGGTGGACGGAGGAGGTGCGCTCTCCAGCCCTCGGACTTTGCAGCTGGGGCTTTGCGGAGTGGAGACTGACTGGTACTGAGAGTTGGCGGCCACTTCGGAGTGGGGAGCCTGGGAGTCAAGGGGAGGGGAGGCCGAGTAGGGGGAGGGGTGAGGGGGTGGGGAGGAGAAGGGGAGTCGGTTCTGGGCTCGCTTCCTCTTGCATTAGAGAGCTCAGAGTAGGGAGAGTTTTCCACTCATCCACATGGAACTTATTCTGGGAAATTTGTTTTTTCCTCTCAGCTATTCTAGAAGTAATTTGATTTTTAAAAATTCTTAACGCTCCTTAAAATATGATCTAAACAGCAAAATTGGTAGAGTGTCCTAGTCAGAGTGAATTGCGCCCGTATGTCATGACCGTTTCTCTAATTCTGTCCTCTTTGTGACTTCAGGCTGCTGTGTCTGAGGCCCTCTGGAACTGAGGAAAAGCCACACAAAAAGCGTGGGTCTCCTCCCGGATCGTGTCCCAAGCTCGCCTGAGCAGGCAGGGTTGGACCTCGCCCCCTAGCGTTGGTCTGGAGAAGTGGCGCCCCGTCGGCGACAGAGCCCGGCACCATGGAGTCTACCAGCGACACGCAGGACAAGGCCATCCGCAGTCTGGGCCCCAGCGACCGTGAAGTCATAGTGCTGCATTACAACTACACGGGGAAGCTGTCTTTGAGCCAGGACAGAGACAGCGGCGTGAAGCTGACCACGGTGGTGTTCATCCTCATCTGCTGCCTCATCATCCTGGAGAACGTCTTTGTCCTGCTGACCATCTGGAAGACCAAGAAGTTCCACCGACCCATGTACTATTTCATCGGCAACCTGGCCCTCTCAGACCTGCTGGCCGGCGTGGCCTACATAGCCAACCTGCTGCTGTCTGGCGCCACCACCTACAGGCTCACGCTGGCGCAGTGGTTCCTGCGCGAGGGCAGCATGTTCGTGGCGCTGTCGGCCTCGGTGTTCAGCCTGCTGGCCATCGCCATCGAGCGCTACATCACCATGCTGAAGATGAAGCTGCACAACGGCAGCAACAGCTCGCGCTCCTTCCTGCTCATCAGCGGCTGCTGGGCCGTCTCGCTGGTCCTGGGCGGCCTGCCCATCATGGGCTGGAACTGCGTGGGCGCGCTGCCCAGCTGCTCCACCGTGCTGCCGCTCTACCGCAAACACTATATCCTCTTCTGCACCACCGTCTTCACCTTGCTTCTGCTGGCCATCGTCATCCTGTACTGCAGGATCTACTCCCTGGTGCGGACCCGCAGCCGCAGGCTCACCTTCCGCAAGAACGCCTCCAAGGCCAGCCGCAGCTCCGAGAAGTCGCTGGCGCTGCTGAAGACCGTGATCATCGTGCTGAGCGCCTTCATCGCCTGCTGGGCTCCGCTCTTCATCCTGCTGCTGCTGGACGTGGGCTGCAAGGTGAAGACCTGCGACATCCTTTACAAAGCCGAGTACTTCCTGGTGCTGGCCGTGTTGAACTCCGGCACCAACCCGGTCATTTACACCCTGACCAACAAGGAGATGCGGCGGGCCTTCATCCGGATGGTGTCCTGCTGCAAGTGCCCCGGTGGGGACTCAGCGGGCAAGATCAAGAGGCCCATCATCGCAGGTGTGGAGTTCAGCCGGAGTAAGTCGGACAACTCCTCGCACCCCCAGAAGGACGATGGGGAGAACCCAGAGACCATTATGTCCTCTGGAAATGTCAACTCTTCTTCCTAAAGCTGGAAGCTGCCAACCCTTGGGAAGTACTGTTCTGAGACCACCTACTGTCCCAGCATTTGAAATAGGTCTCTGGGCCTCAGTGGGGCCAGCAAGGAGCCCCAGGGGCCAGAGAGAGGGAGGAAGCAGGGGAGAACTCAAGCGGCCTGGTGGGGCCACAGCAGCTGGTGGGTAGCGCTGGTTCCGGTGAACAATGCACCAGGAAGGGTGGAGATTGGTCGGCCTGGAGCCTGTTTCCTCTCCCTTCGGAGCTTTGATTTTGCACTGAGCCAAAGGTCTAGCATTGTCAGGCTCCCAAAGGGTTCCCTGGGGCCCTCCTCCAAGAGTGGGGTCCCCAGGAGAAAGGCGCTCAGTCTGGCGCTTAGAGGAGATGATTTTTTCCCTTCAGTCTCAGACCCACGTGAGTGTGTGCACTTGTGCTTGCCAGGGAACACTGTTCCCCTCCTGCCCTGCCCTCCCTCCCCTCCCTTCCACCCCCTCGCAAGATTCTCTTACTTTTAGTATAACTACCTGGCATTCATCCGAGCAGCCTCCTGGCTCGCTGTTCTCGGCTGTCTGTAGCGGGCCGGCCATGTTCAGTAGGTAGGCTGAGAAGACCTGGACATGGTTTGGAGAGGAAAAGCAGTTTCATCTGCTGAGGCCAAAGTTTCCACGCAAGCTGGATTAGTTGTGTTTTGGAATTTGCTTGACGTCACTTTGATTTTTTTAAAGCATCTTTACAATGAAATGTGTTGCAGTGTCATGTCAGTTGTGGCTGTGATCAGCCGAGGAAGTCCGCTTTCTCCAGGTGGTAGCAGCCAGGACCTTCAGTGTTGGGGTGCAGCAAACAGAAGAAGGGGGAAGAGGACGGGAGGAAGCCTGAGCGCCAGGCGCCGTCTCTTGGTGGCTGTCACGAATGCAGCCCCTGTCTTTGGCACTTCTGCTGAGGTTTATCGCAGAGTGCTGTGCTGTCCATTTCCACCACAGGATGGTCGCCTTTGGCTGTGGTCGAGTACTTTCCATGATTTTTGAATGTATTTGTTTCAGGAAAGGTCTTTCATTGGATTTTTTCTAACTTGTGTTAACACCACTGAGTGTGTCTTTCTTAGGAAGATACCAGTTCTTGGCTCTTAAAAGCATTACTTTAATTGGTAGGAAACAGTGGAAGTTTTTCAGTACAGCTGTTCATTAGATAGTAATTGAAGGTGTGTATAAATGTTACAAAGTATAAAAACGTGTCACTGTCTTTTTAGTGCGGTTTTCAGTGCAATTAAACCAAGAAATGTCTTTTTTTAAAAAAAAATAGTATTTAATAGGTTTCTGACTTTTGTGGATCATTTTGCACATAGCTTTATCAACTTTTAAACATTAATAAACTGATTTTTTTAAAGATCCCTTTGTGAAGAGCATTTTTTAAAAATCACGATTCAGATTTTCCCTGATTCCGTGGTTCTTTAGAATCAAAAGGTAAGCATAAATTTATGTTATTTTTAAAGGATTTCACCTTGATAAAGTAGGGTGTGAAAAAATTGTGGTTTGTTTAGAAACTGCCCTGTTTTAGGAAGAGAAACTTAAATAAGTGAACAGTGAATTTGAAAATGAATGAGATAAAAAAAAACCACCAACCTTCTCAATACCACATTGGCAAGAAACTGTAATTTTAAATTGCATTCAAGACAAGCTAACTGCAATACAATAATCCTATTTTAAAACATGGCTTTGTAAAGAATTAACCGTGTGGTGGTCTCACTTAGGTTACTACACCCTGACCAGTCCGAACACACCAGCCAAAGTGTACGCTCTGGCCACCCACCCGCATGCTCCGGGGAGATCAGGAAGAGTGTTAAGTCATTAACCTTTTTAGGGTACTGTTTTGGCTCCTTCAGTCCATCTCTGAATATGGGAATATGCGGTACACGTGAGGTAGCAAACGAGAATGCAGGCTGGGTGGCACAGGGCCATTTGTGTGAAAACTTTATTCATGGTACTGGACAGTGTTAGCATTCTTGACTAGTAATTTCTCCAGCTATGAAGTGAAAGCAAGGGTGCTGAGCAAGCACCCTAGAATTCGAGCACTAGTTAGCTCTTGCTGTAGCATTGCTGGATCTTTCTGGTGGGTCGAATCAAAGTCTCTTGATGTGTTTGGTTCTCTAGCTTTAGTGTTATTTTCACAATTTGTGCTTTCAAGTGTCATTGACTATGCACAGGACACAGTTGGGACACGGAGATAAAGCTCACCTACTGGGGTAGATGTCATTTCTGGGTAAGGTTAACTGTGGGAAGCAGAAATGTATTCACTAAGGAAAGCTTAGGTCACAGGCTCCTTTCCTGAAGGAAATGCCAAAAATGCTCCAAAGACAAAAGGCTGGAAACACACTGGAATGTCTCTGTCCATCTGTCTGCTGAGGCGGAAGGAGTGATTTCATGTCACACTCACTTCCTGGAACTTTCATTGCAGTGTGGAGCACGATGGAAAAGTGTCCATTTTGTTCCATGGCATGATGACATGGCTTGCACTTATCTTCGTGGGCCAGCAGTGACTCAGGATGGGGAAGCTGGGAGGGGCAGCTGGCCGCGCGGGGCTGGGGGCTCACCGCCCCACCTGAGAACACGGCCTGGACCGGCTGCGTGGGACTCTCTGGGGACTCCAGCAATGGGATGCGAGAAAGACAGACAGCCGCGACCTGGGACTCCCTGGCAGATGGGGCAGGAAGCAGGGCCTAGACGAAGCAGTCCTTGGGTTTATCCTGACCTGAGTGTCTGGTTTTAACTGAGAACACTCTATGAAGGAGTGAGAAAAAGCTCAGTGGTGCTAGGCTTGTATGAAAACATACACACGTAAAATTTCGACTACAAAACCTAGTATTGTTTAAGTGAAGGACATTTGGCAGTACTCGACATTCTTATAAAAGGTTCAGGCTCAAAATGTTAGAAAGGTTGAAAATGACATCACATAACACTTTATCCCAACAGCTCTGAGTTTGACTACAATTTTGCAGAGCATTCAAAGCAAAATCTTATATTCAAGATAAAATATTCTTGCTTCCTAGTTTTGTATAAAGAGAAAACTGATTCTTTAATAAAAGTCAGTCTGGTGATATTATAAATTCAGAGCTTTAGTTTTCAGTTCATGTCAGTAGTTACTGGATTCTATTTAATAACATCAGTCACTTATGGCACCTGTAATTTTTCTCCAATGTCAAAATTCTGAAATAAAGGTCTTAATTTAATTCTTTTCGAATCCCAGTAGACTCCTGGCTCGGAGCCCGCCTGTGCCGAGGCGTGTCCAGCGCACACCCTGTGCATCCCCCGTACTGTGTGGTCCGGGCACTTCTGTAAGTGTGTACGCTTCTGTGTGTTGGTGTCCACCTCCATCTCTGAGCTCTGTCACTTTTCCTGACCAGCCGCGGGTGGCGCTCTAGTGGGGAGCTGCTACTCTGAAAGAGTGACTTAGGAGCTGCGCTGGGGAAGCTCTATGGAGAGGCCCTGAAATTCAAGTCATTCTCAGCATGACTTGAACCCCATTTTCAGATGAGAAGCAGGGGGTAGCACCACATTGCTCCATTTGAAACCATCCTACATACAAAACTGTCAGAGATTGGAACTTCTAAACGGTTGCTGGCTCAAAAATTAATCTCTAAGAGCTATTATTCACTGTGGCATTTGTAGTGCATGTTTGTACTCTCGGTATGATAATGTTCACTTGCTCCTTGTGAAAGTAGCGCCGTCCGTGCTTCTCACCTGGAATTGAGTTTTCTGCGGGCACCCAGCTAACTGGATCAAACTGGATTTGGTCTCATTTGCTTCCAGATTTGGTGTGGTTTTTTCCTCTAGATAAGTTACAAGTGCCGCTGGGGAGTAATTACAGTTAGCTAAAGGAAACTTCGTGGGACCGTAAGCACGTCCTTCCCTGTGAACACAGCCCCTGTGGGATGGAAGAAGTCCTAAGAAGCCACGTCATTTCCGTCAGTCTTCCTTACTGTTTTTTTAAATGTGTGTTTTACATGATCCAAAGGAAGAGACCTAAAATATTACTTCTTATACATACCTCTGTCTTCATGGCCACACTAACGGTAACTGGAGTCACCTTTACAGAATACTGGAAAGATCCTTGAATAGCAGAAATCCTTTATATTCCCTACAGAGAACAAGGATTTTATTATTTTGTTTGTTTGAGACAAGCTCGCACTCGGTAGCTCAGGCTGGGCTTGAACTCACTGCGCAGTCCAGCGTGGGGCCCTGCTCCTTGCTGGCCTCCTGCCTCAGCCTCCCGAGGGAGCGGTGGTGTTACGGTCCGCTTCGCGCCTGCTGAGGACTAACCGCTGATCAAAGGAGCTGGGAGAGGTCTGAGGAAAATGAAAGGAAGGGGCTGGACCTACGATTACTTCACAATCTTTGACAAGCACCGAGACTGAGAGTAATTTTGATCCTCATTTGACACATCTAATATGCCCCATCTCTTGTATCTGGTGCTTTTTTTTTTTTGTATTTTTTTCTTCTTCTTTTTGGCTCAACTCAAGGGATTGCTATTGTTTCCAAGCTTCTGTTTAGCTCCCTTTGAGGATGGAAGTGTTAAAATTCAGACTTAATTCTGTGTGCAGCCACTAGCAAAAGCCCAGGTGTGGGCTGCAGATTGGGATGAACAGGGATTATGACACGTTTTGCCAGTGAAGCGTCATCACGGGCCCAATGACCAGCTTCCTGGCTAACACTGGACACACAGGTCACATGTGTGGTGGACTCCGGGCAGTGCTGCTCAACGCTGAAGAAAGGAGCGGCTGCTAAGGCTTCTGTCTGCATCCCAGGACTCTTGAGGTGAGCACAAGAATTATGCCACAGAAAAAGCGCACCGCACAATTCCATTTCAGTGGAGTTTAAGAGTCACAGACATTAGCTGGGTCTGGTGGTGCGTACCTGAAAACTCCGCATCCGGAGGCTGAGGCAGGAGGATCACTAGTTCAGGGCCAGCCTGGGCTACTTTTTTGAAGCCCTGCCTCAAAAACCCCTTGTAAATAAGTGAAAAAGAAAAGGCAAAACTAATCTATGGAGACAGACATACTGTGGCTGCCTGCTGGCAGGGGTGATGCTGGAAAGGAAGAAACTTTCCAAGCTGTCGACAGCGCCCTGTGGCTGCATTCTTTATGGTGTGGGCTTCCGAACTGTGTGCGCCTGGTTAAACTTGTGCATCTCTACGTGCTTTTTTTTTTTTTTTTTTCAGAACCAAGGATTGAACTCAGGCCCTTGCACTTGCCAGGCAAGCATATATTCTAATGAGCCATCTCCCCGGCCCCCTTGTGCATTTCTCCGCTCAAGATTTATGAAATCCAGAAGAATAATATTTTAGATTTCTATCTCTGAGGATAGAAGCTCCCCGGGCCTTTCTTTGTGATTGTGATAAGATGCCACGGAGCTGAATGAAGTGTGGCCACAGTCCCAGCGTGCACCACAGCAGGAACGCTTGCACTTGTAGTATTAACCACAACATGCAAACGCCAAAGCCCCACGACCTGGTGGCACCCATGCTTCTGCAGGGTGGCAGCGTGGCTGACTGTCAGTATTTGCAAGCTGCCAGGAATTCCGTGACTGGAAGAGCCCAGGAAAGCAATGAAACTGTCACAATAAAAGTTTGTTAACGTTCAGATTTCACTCTCAGAAAGATGCGGAAGGTAGCATAATTTCAGGTCAGGGATTACGATGCCCCTGCTTTGCCTTTATTGTCCAGATTTGCTTTTGCTAATCTAGGTTTCTTCTTCAATTCCAAATGAATTTTAGGATTTCCCCCCCCCCTAATTCTGTGAGGTATGATGTTAGAATTTTTATCAGGATTACATTAAATCTGTGTAATAATGTTGGAAGTGTGGCCACTTTTACTATACTGTTTCTTCCTACCCACATCCGGTACCCTCTTTGATCTCCTTTTTTTTAGTATACTGTGTTTTTCATTATAGAAGTCTTTTACTTCATTTGTCAGATTGATTCCCAGATTGATCTTTCTTTCTTTCTTTCTTTCTTTCTTTCTTTCTTTCTTTCTTTCTTTCTTTCTTTCTTTCTTTCTTTCAGAAGCTGTTGTAAAATGTGATGTTTTCCTAATTTCTCTTTGTGAGTTTATTATTTGTGTAAGGCATGCTACTAATTTTGAGTGTTGACTTTGTGTCCAGCGATGCTACTAAATTTAGTTATTAAATCTAGACATCTTGAGGTGGAGTTTTAGGGCTCTTCTATGTAGACTATCATGTCATCCACAAATAATGATAATTTAACTTCTTCCTTTCCTATCTTTATTCCTTTTATTTCTTTCTCCTGTGTAATTGCTCTGGCTAGTATTTCCAGAAATATATTAAGCAGTAATGGTGATAGTGGACATCTTTGTCTTGTTCCTGATTTTACAGTGAAAGGTTTCAGTCTTCGATTATTTAGTGTGATGTTGGCTGTTGGTTAGTCATAGATAGCCTTTATAAGATTGAGATGATGTTCTATTTCAATTTCCTGCCATTGTTTTAAAATCATAAATGGGTGTTGTACTGTCGTGATCTATCTATCTATCTTTCTTTCTTTCTTTCTTTCTTTCTTTCTTTCTTTCTTTCTTTCTTTCTTTCTTTCTTCTTTGTATTTAGGACAGGGTATACAGGGTCTACAGAGTCTCACTGCATAGATTGGACTTGTAGTGATCCTACTGTTTACATCCTCCAAGATGCTGGGATTACAGGTGTGCGCCACCACACCCAGTCTCAATCACCCGCGCAGCATGCCCTGGGTGCCAGCCAGCCCTTGTCTGCCTAAGCAGGCACTTTATTCTGCTGAGCTATTTGGCCAGCCCTTTTCGGCATCTATTGAGATGACTGTGTGTTGGCTTTGGCTCTGCTGATAATAGTGCACTACATTAATTAATTTGCACATATTGAGCCATCCCTGCATCCGAGGTGATCCTTATGCGGTCATGGTGTATAATCTTCCTGATTTGCTGCGCTCTGTTTGCCAATATCTTATTGAGGATTTTTGCATTTCTGTTCATTAAGGAGCTTTGCCTGTAGTTCTCTTTTTGGTTGGATCCTTTGCTGGTTTTGGTATCAGGGTAATGCTTGCTTCCAGGAATGAATTTGGAAGTTTTACTTCCCTTTAAATTTCACTGAAGACTTTTTTTTTGGTGGGGGGGGGAACCAGGGATTAAACTCAGACCCTTGAGCTTGCCAGGCAAGTACTTATTCTATTAAGCCATCTCCCCAGCCCCCATTGAAGAGTTTTGAGAAATAGCAGCATTAGGTGTTCTCTAAATTTCTTGTAGAATTCAGCAATGAATTTACTGGGACCTGTGGGCTTTTCTTACTGGTACATTTTTAATTACATTTTCAGTTTTATTGACTGATAATTGATTTATTTTGAATTTTTTGTCTTCTTAATTCAGTTGAAGAATGTTGGTAATTCATATGTGTCTATGAGTCTGTCCATTTCTTCTGTATTTTCTATCTTACTAGAATACAGGGTCACAAAATAGATATTGATCTTCTAAATT